TGCCAGTTACTCTAGCATTCGTCAACATTGCATAATCAATGGCCATATTATTCCTTTAAGTGATCGCTGTCTACATAGGAAGTGTCCACTCACCAGTGGTGTAGCCAGCTATTCCAAAAACAGTTTTGATGATTTCTGGCTGGTCTTCACTTCCTTGATTTTCTGTGGAACGAGAGAGACAACAGACACTATATAGGCATCATTAGCAGCAGGTGATTTTATATGGAAATAGATGCAGTAATGTGATAGATGGTGTTGTGTGGCTGCTTTAGCTACAGGCACCGGAAGTACTATGGCTACATTACACAACATGTGTCTCCAACTTACAGAGAGAAGTTTGTTTCGGATTCCAATACATCCATACAACTTGAATGTTGCAATTTTCTCAGTACAGTTACTTGAAATTTCAAAGAAACAAAAACATTTGAACACAAGAAACAACAAGCACACAACAAGAACACAAGAAACAAAAACAAGAAGGAAAAGCTGCATCTTTTTTACATTTTACTCTCAACCTATGTGCCAAAGCTTAAATCTCAAATGCATTTCCCAAGATTGGTTTCACACCAGGAATCAGTTTATTGCTTTTACTGGTTAAAGGGTCAGAGACTGGCAGCATTGGGATCCAAGCTTGGACACCACTGGTGGGTAAAACATTGGATAAGCAGCCGTACGGTCTAGACTTAGGTTGTAGAGTGATGAGGTCAATGCCAGGTGTAATTGTAGGCACCAGTCGGTCAACTCATTGTCCCATACTCACTCACCAGCCTTTATATGGTCAACCTGACAACTGACCATAGTGCTAGTTATCCAATCATGATGATTTGATATGCAGAGCCAGGCTGGGTTGCCTGCTGTCTCCAGGCCATTTAAGTACCTAAAATACACCAGCAACACTATACTTGACATATCATATTGAAAACAACTTATTATCTTGGCGTGATTATGTGTTATGCCTCGTAAGTGCCTAGGTAGCACATAAGGCAGTGACAAGTCAAGGCGTTATTATAGCATCGTAAATAACCGTGACAAGATAGCAACTGTTTATCGTGAAAATGAGGAAACAACGTTACCTACTAAAGAACTGACCATACTTACATGATGAGTCTTTTTTGCTCCTCTAAAGGAGCAGGAATCTGCGAAAGTTTGTTTGTCAACTTCTGCTGCAGGGCTTGTATTCTTTGCTCTACATCATCGTAAACTGCAAACATAATTCTCAGGTTAATAGTGACCTCATGCTAGCATTTATTAATTAGAGCAGTAAACAACAGGAAATTGTTAAAAGCACTAAACTCCCACAAGAGCACAAACACATGTCAAGTAAAAATTGACATATTTACAATTTTGTTCTTGCTTCTAAACAATTCCACTGCTGTCATCTTGAAACACTTACCATTTGTGAATATTTTCACTCTAGTATCCGAAAATAGAGATTTTGCTCTGCTCCAGTCATTTATCACAATTTCTATGTCGCCCTAAAAATTTGTTTTAAAAACAGAATATCATCAACAGCAACGCCTAATATTTATTTCTCAGAGACAAGTCAAGAATATTTCACTATTATTTTTATATACCTTTTTGTAACAAACAAGTGCACACTAAACCAAGATGTATAGACAGTTAACACAACACTGGATTAGGTCCATAAAGCATTTACAATTAATTTCAAGTAAACTGCATGGACACACATAGCACATGACAAAGCACAAGTGTGAAGTACCCTCTGTATATTCTTCTCGATGCTTCCCGGCAGACTGAACAGGAACTTGAAGCGTAACAGGACGTTGAGCGCGTTTCTGATGGTGTCCGCGCGGTCTCGTCGCTTCAGCACGTCTTGGAACAGGTCGTTGGCCATGCCGAGGGCCTCTACACACACACACAAGCATGTATCAGAGACGATCTGCCATTACAGATTACAGGTAGGTCCTGTTTTACGACAGGGTACTATTAATTAGCTGTTATACCTATTAATACCTATAATTACCTATATATGGTAGATGCTGCAACAAGAACTATTAATTACCTGAGAGAATTACTTCAGCTTGATCAGTGAGATGACCTTCAGATGCCCTCTGGTCAGACATGATCATGCCCTGTAATGCTGCACAACAAGCAACAACGTTACAGAACGCGCAAAGGCATAACGTGCAAAGTATCGCCCACACAAAAGTGGACGCGTCGCGTAACTTTTTGCAGAGACGATGACCGTCGACTTTCTCTTCGTTAGTAGCAATAACTACGCGCATACAGCCGCGACATCATGCAGATACTACGTGGTATCAGTCGCTTAAATGAGTAGAGCGCTGTGGTGTTCACAAAATAATTAAACAGATTCAGATACTTTTCAGTATCTTTATTTCTAACGTCCAACATGGAAACTGGCTGCCCCCGGAAACTCTGTTTCATTACTTCCTTTCTCGATAGGTGGCAGCATAAATACAGTATCCTCAATACATAAGCTTTATGAATGATTCATATGCCGATATTGCGATATATCAGCATATCGACATTAGAAGCGCGCTCATACATGTCAGCGTGTTTATGCACTCAGTGAATGAATCTAGGTTGTCCTTCACAAGAGATGCTGGTCCATCGAGCGTGTGTGTCCTACGTCTCTGCATGTGTGTCAGACCCGCCTTTAGGTCATCAAAACTGAAATTTGACATGAGAGTGGCTTTTACACCTAGTGCTAATAACTACGGAGTTTAATCTCCATAATATAAAATTCTTATACTTGTTACAAAGGGTTATAGATTAGGGTTAGATTAAAATTTAGATTATAGTAACGATTCTGTTCGACTTTAGTTGTCCCTGTTATGAAGTTTATATATTTAGTGAAACCAGTATAAGAAGTTGAGAAGCTCGAAGAGAAGTGTTGATAGCATCTAGACTCCAATAAGCTCACAAGCCTCTGACCGCTCTGTTAATCCGCAGAGTCCTTAAAACATGCCATTTGAACAGTGTAAGCAAACTGGATTCGTATCTCTTAATTCACATGGTTTTTGTCTACATCACCTTCTAAAGATGAAATACCAAGAAGAAGAATGGAATGAGCACATTTGCAACTCTCACAACACATAACTATTACACCTGCGTTCTGTGATTTGTAGGCTCATAGAAACCTTCATAATATAGGAAACACATTTATGACACAAGAGATAATTCAATCGATACCTGGATCCTTGGTGATTTTCTACCAGAAACCACTGAGCTACGAAATCATCACTATTGAGATTTCCAGATCCTTCGGGAAATAACTCTACCAGTTCATGTTCGGAGATCTTCTTGCTAGAAGATATGTGTAAATCAATAAATGAAGCATTAGCAGCAGAAGACTACTCAGTGACATTTTACAAATTTTGATAGTGCTATCCAAGTATCCCAATTCTGAGTTTCCGTCAGTTTTAAATGGATTACTAGATTGCTAAATGCCAATGATCAAAAAAATGTTACCGTGCCCAGACCCCACGTAATACAGTGCCTGTTACAGAACCCAAGGTTACACAGATGTCCATAAGCTTTATGTTCCAAAGACCATTACAGAACATGACTATGAGGTGTCTACTACATAGAAATCAAGTGATGATGTTTGACACAATGGTGCATAGGGCATTGACATGCACCTTGCTGCTAGCTTTAGAAAGTAGTAAGCAGTAATAAGTAATAAGTTAGCAGTTCTGCAGAGCAGTAACCGGTCTGACTCAACATGGAACAAATAGCTTACTGAGTTGCTTCATCTGACAGGCCTAGAGGATCTTCCTGGGAGACAATAGGCGATTGCACCCTCCTGCTCTTCTGCTTGTCAAACAATCTGGACTCATCCACCCATACGGCTGACTCCTGAAGAGGGCCTTCAAAACACATTAGTCCCAAGAAATTCAATGTAATTAAATACTGGTAGCTGCTTTTCTGAAACATGACAGATATTGGCACAGGCAAACCTAGTTGTTGCACCATTTAGTATTCACCATCATTCCATACTTGGCACATATAAAATTCACACGTAAGGGTAAATATCAACCAAATATTGTCCATGCTGCTACTTGTACCTGTTTGCACAAAGAATCCTCTGAACTTGACAGTACAGGTGCCGATTCCTCCAGACTTGGTGAGAATGATCACATCACCGACACCTTTGCAGGGTCCAGTGCGAGCGACCAGCTTGCTAGATGACATCCACTCCATGGTCATCACACACTCCACCCCACATATCCTGAGTGCTGTCTCATTGAAAAACATCACAGGAAATCATAACATAAGTTATCGAGTGTGCAATGTATAATCAAACTATTTAGCAAATCACACATCTTAATGAATTTCATATCAATGTTGGCAATGTCACACAATTAAATTCAGTTTAAAAGTATCACGGTGCATTTTGAAACTTGATAATAATGTACTACAACCGTAATTTGGATTAAAGAAGCATGACTGCAAAAGGAATTTTTACTAATAAATCTAGATTTTTAATGATCTGTACAAACTATAGGCATCTACCTGTTTAGCTAACAATACTGTGAATTTTTGCCAACAACTGAACAAGAACAATTGTTTAGTAGATAGTCCCAATTTCTGAACCAGTATGGCCAAACATATGCACGCACACATACGCTTCATTGTACGCCAACATTTGGATGCAGAAAACGTTGCAAGAGATGAAGCATGGCTCTTTTATGCCCACCATGCTTGCAAGCTGTATCATGTATGTGAATATTTCAGCAAGCATAACTTCACGTGCATCATGTCTATATATGGTGTGATTACTGTAGAAACTGTACGGTGACAGTACCTAATACATCTTGCGGATTAACACCAAGGTTTTCGCCTCTTATGATTATCTTAGTTCCTGGAGGACCTTCCTTAGGCGATAACCCTGTAACCTTAGGTGGCTCTGCTTGTCGGTTAGTATGTAACATCTTGCCTTTACCTATAATACAAACATGAAAGATATATAATTATATGTTGCCTCATTACCAAATATTACTTAGCACATAGCACTTATCATAAGTGATAAAAGAAAACCATGCTGAACTTGCTCTGGACCTGGCTATTGCTGCTATATATTTTTTCCAAACAGTTAGCTATAGGTGGTCCAGTGGTTAGCGTATCCACCTTTCACTTCGTAGGATATGAGTTCAAACTCCGGCAAGGGCAGAATTTTTCTCACTGTATAAACTAAGATATTCAGCTATCAGTATTAAGTATTATTATTAATCATATATATAGCTATTCAATTTATAAATTATAGTAATACTATACTAGTAAGTAGTATAAATTATAATCAGTGTTGTTTAGGTCTCGAGGCCGGTCTTGGCCTCGAGACCGTTTTCCTTAGTCTCGGTCTCGGTCTTGGCCTCGGAGTGCAATGACTCGGACTCGGACTCAAACTCGAGCCTTCCGGACTTGAGGACTCGGGTCGAGGCCGGCTCGAGGCCACTACATACATATAGTACACAACTGTACATGTTGTAACATGCAGTTTACAAGAATTTAAAACTAAAACTCCTAGGTTTTCTAGATACACGGCCTAATCTTGTAACGTTTTCAATGGCTCGATTAAGATTCTTGTCCCTTTGGTTTGAATCTGCTGTCACTTCATCCCTTTGCGCTTTTTCTACCACTTCTTTCTCTTCTTCTACCACTTCGAAGGTACTAGCACTCTCTCATTTGGTTCAACAAGCCGTGTCATTCTCGTAGAACACAAATGAATCCGATGCTTTGACACGTTTCGTATGACTCGTGTCTCTGTGTTTTCGGCTGACTATACACTTTCGAATATCTACGATGCACTGTTGCGATTCCTAATCGACAAAATGACGACTTACGCGTAAGTCGTCATTTTCCTAAGTCAACACAAATATGCTGGTCCCAAAAGTGCTGACTTATGCAAGTTTTTGTACTTTCTATTTCATGCAAACAAGTGACAGATCCAGGGGGCAGGAGACACCCCCCCCCCATTTTTGAACAACCACATACATATAGAAGTGAGTGCATGGCCTTGTCGGTCTGTGCCCCCCTTTTTTTTTAATCAAAACTGGACTCGGACTCAGGTGGCGCGGACTTGGACTCAAGTGGCGCGGACTCGGACTCGGGTGGCGCGGACTCGGACTCAAGTGGCGCGGACTCGGACTCGGGTGGCGCGGACTCGGACTCCGACTCGGACTCAGACTCGAGGGGTGCGGACTCGACTACAACACTGATTATAATATAGTACGGTATTACTATTTAGTAATAGTAATACATTTTTAAAATTTATGCTGAATGTATGGCATTTGAACAATTCTGGAGCACTTCTGGAGTGAAGCATATTAAAATAAAAAATTATTATGAAACTGTTGGAACATTAATTCAATACCGTGTGAAATTAATTCAACGGCTAATTGCTATGCTGTAGTACCAAACTATGGGCGGCGCGCCGTAAGCTGCAAACTTGCCATGAAGTTCAACCGCCATACACTGTGAGTGTCGTCGTCGTCGTCTGAGAACAATATGTATATATATTGTTCTCAGGTCGTCGTCGGCGACTCGGCGGAGGGGGCGGCGATGAGCACTGTCGCACAGTGGCACAATCGCTTGCGTAAGCATCTGCGGTACTCTACTGTTTCTGAAAATAAATAATTTTTAACGGTAAAATGCATAGATAATATTTTATAAAATTAGTAAAAATATAATCTAGTTTGTTAATAATTATATTTTACATTAATCTGAGATAATTTTATGGTATTTTACAGATATCACGAATCATACGCACCAGAGCTCGATCGGTGCGGAGTATACTTCGATCGGTGGCCGGCATCTTGAAACTTTTGATCCATTGCTACGAAGCATCGAAATATCACGTATTTAGACACTACTTTGATATTTGTAACTGAATTTTAAAATCATTAACATGGAGAACATTGAGCGCGATAAAAATATGCAGAAAGGAAGGTTACACCTTTTGAAAAACAAAGGAAAAGATACAGAGGTACGTTCCGCCGGGTTCCCTTTTCACTCGCCTTTGAGTTTTGAGTTTTGTAAATTGTAACTGTACTTGTAAGTTGTAGTACTACTAGTAGGCCCTAATCTCACTACTCCTGCTTAATCCTAGTGTGGGACCACGGTATATATAGTTCACATATCTGTTAAACTAATCCGGGGTGCCAACTGGAATTGTCCGTTTGGCAGAAAGTGAATTAGGTTATTATTTTCGCAGTGGCTGGATTGGCCTAGAGACTGCACATTTCCATGGAAACGGAAAATGGACGGAAATCACTGAATCACCCCCTCTAAAACGGAATCACCATAACCTCCCAAAACACAAAAATAACCTTTAAAACAGCTCAAATCACTCCCAACACACACAAAATGATTATGAAAACATCTTACATTTACATCCAAAAAAAAGAATACATTATTAGACGGCCTCACTCCCATTGAGAACACTGACATAGACAGTTGTACTCGCAGCTAGGGCCTGCATGCCTCCCAAATCCCATTGGTTGATACAAATCACGTGCCTGAAACTCATGTTTTAATAAAACTTTTATGGTGCATTGTGACCCTAACCCTAACACTAATTACAATTTAATTTAAAAAATTAACTATATTTGTATCAACGAATGGGAGTTGGGAGGTATGCAGGCCCTAGCCACGAGTGACAGTTGTGATGTATTGTACAGTATGCTGGTGACATCTATAGTGCGTTCGATTTGCATCCCCAGAGCCACCTGGGTTAACCTGGGTACGAAATCGAACGCATCTGGGTTAGGGAAGATAAACGAACGGTTTTTGGGTTAACCCGGGTTAATTATCATGGATGCCAGTGGCAATAAAAAAAGAATAGCAATTGCAATCTTATTATTAATGAAATCTAAGAATGAGTTGCTTAAGGATAGAGAGCATGTCCAGTAATAAACATCATCCTATCCACTGACCGTCCTTGAGCAAAGCAGTCATTCACACTGCTACATTCATGCAGCACTGATCCCGCACTGATATCGTCGCCATGCATGCGTGTTGTTTGCAATGGGATTGTGGATAATTCCCCAACCTCCCCCCCAAGTGAGCGACCTCGGCGAGCCGCTCACTTCTTCTTAACCGGGTTGACCCGTGGTAACAAAAAATCCACCGTGACTAGCAATCGAACGTATTTGGGGCTGCGCCGAGTCAAGCGCCAGTTAACTTGGGGCAAGCAAATCTAACCACTACTATGTGTAATGTAGAGACATCAGTGTGGAAATCAAAAAAATTGTGGAATTATAGTAATCTCCGAGACGCGAATGCCAAATTTTGAAGGCGGAAATCTTGCAGTCTCTAGCTGGAGCGTACGGCAGAGCTCGGCCAACCGCCTATCTTACAGTCGCGAGCGCTAATGGGTACGGCACGTCCATTTCCGCATGCGTCGCTTTCCCACAAAAAAATGCTGTTGCGAAATTAATTCACGATTTAATTCACGATTAAGATTTTCATATAAAGATAGCCGAGTCGGTTTATAGTTAGGGCTTCAAGGATAGAGAACATGGTCCCAATAAAACAATATAATTTACATCAATATAAATATAATATTATATCAATATAATAGGTTATGGTTAGGGTTAGGATGCGGTTAGAATTAGGGTTAGGTTGAGCACATTGGTTTTATTGGACCATGTTCTCTATCCTTGGGCCATAGTTAGTGGTAGGGTTAGTGGACTGTTTCTACTTGTGTGTGGGACTGCCGTACCCGTAGCCTCGAGGCATTAAGATACGGCTGCAGCGCATGCGTAGTTGGACTGGCGTACTCGTAGCCTCGAGACATTAAGATACGGCCTGCCGTACCCGTAGCTGCTGCGTATTATACACAATCAACTTGAGCAATGTCACATGCACTAATGAAGATGGTCAGCAGTTTGATCAAGGATAGTTTGGGAACCAGCAAATCTGTTTTTCGAATATATGCTAACTGATTCGAGGTTGCTAAACATGGCTTGGGCACCCGACATCTCTTCAATGTTCATAAGTGTGAAGTTATTGCATGAAATACTCAGCTAACAGTAACACGTTCTTTATTCCACTATTTAATATACTAGTATTAAAGCCCTACCACTTGTGTGGAAAAAATGTATCATGTGTCACTGCCATGCTACTTTATGTACCATGAAAAAATGCACTACATGAAAAATATACTTGAATGTTATGCCTTTAAAGGATTATATTTCGAAAGCATTGCACAAAAATGCACAATCTGAAAAATATACGCGGTGGCTGGAGGTACGGCAGCCGTCGTTTGTTGAAGCCCTTTTTTGGGATTAGGGTTAGGGTTAGGTTCTAGCTCATCTAAACTCTCAATCGTGAATTTATTTCCCAAGCTTTATTTCGAAATCTGGCGCCACCCGCCGCCATCTTTGTCTCGTTAAGTATGAAAGCGAATGGACTGTCGTACCTCCAGCCTCGAGACATTTAAGATATGGCTGCTGTAGCCACCAGCGAAAAATATAGCAAAATATAGTCTCACGTCATGTAGCAGATATATTACTGATTACACCAACTTGAAAAATACTAGGAATTTATTGCTGTTATAGCATAGTGAAATTGCGCGCTATTTTGCCGACGGCCGCGGTTCAACCCCCCATATAATCAGTCCGCTTGGCCTATTCAAAATTTATATTGCCTTTATATCAAACAATATTACCAATTTGCTGACTAGTTTTTACTTCATAAGACTACTCTACTCTTAATACAAACTGCAAATGAATACTATGAGTATACCTAATAAACACAAAGCTAATACTTTTATTAATAATGCAGGGCTGAAACTAACGCTCGCCCGCGTCGCCGAGGCTAGTAGAAATGCAGTAAAGGCTAGAGAATGTCTGGTCTGACCAGCCCTGTTGGCGAGTGGGAATGCCTACCAGATAAAGCATTACTAGTACTTTTCAGCAACTACTACACCGACCGAAATAGTAATAAATAATATAAAATTTCGCTGGTGCAAACATAATAAAATTGCCAAAACCTAACTTAAAACAGCTTCAGTACCTCAGACAATAAAATCGGTCCAACCACCATGCTGCTCTATTCACAAGCTCATGCCAATCCCCTCACAGTGTATATACGCAATGCGTTTCTGTTCTACTTTCTGTTTACATTCGTGGAACCGTTAGTTAACTTTGGTTTACGTTTCAGCTGACCTCAGGGTTAAACACTACAATCCCTCCCCTTTTCAAACGAAGATTATTTCAATTTGACGGTTGCTAAAATATCAAATTAGAAACTCAAATTTACTTATACGGAGTTGGAATCACCCTGGTTAATATACAATGCCAGTCTCTGGTCTATATTAACGTGAAATAGTTAGTCATGTTTTTGTCAGGTACTGTTATGAAAATAACCTCTTTAAACCTACATTCCTGTAACTGGTACCTATTCTAAGCCTTTTATAATACGATGTTCATCCTAACACTAGCATAACACGCTTCTATGTGGTTTATATTCAGTCAACTAAGCAATACAACTATACAAATTCAAACTAACACAAACAGGATAACTCTACTTATAACTCTATACTGTACTTGTACTAACTACTAACAAACTCTGTACTTGTAGTAGAGATATTACTAGAGTAGTAAGAGATAGTCACAAACGGTTCAAATTAAACAATGAACTTTCATATTTCCGTAGGCTGACTACTATAGTTACTATAAAGGAATTATTCTGCTCTTATAACATAGTACTGATGATTGTATATATGTAAGTATATATATATGTATATATTATCAAGAGCTAATATACACCTAGAGTGTACAATGAAAAACTGGAAATAGTGCTATTTCACGGGCAATATATATCTACTGAGGCCTGTGGAGGCATAGATTACGCTCCAATATCTTGCCTACGGAGTATCGTAGAGACATAAGCGTGGTCTTATTTTAGAGAGCAAAAGAATGCTGCTTAACGCAATACCATGAACTTAGTCTATGAACCGCATACAAAGTAGAATAATATTGCCGTGAAATAGCACTATTTCCCGGTTGTACATTCTATGTATTTATTAGCTCTTGATATATAATATATATTATGTATATTTATATATATATATATATATATAATATATATATATAATATATATATAATATATATATATATATATATACTAATATATGCTGAATCTAAATTTCCACAGTCAAGGAATTTCGCAAATGCATCTCGGACGTCTAAAATTAAAACCCAGATCCACCCACCTCACCCCACCCCCACCCCACCCCCCCAAATGGCAAAATTTTACTCACTGCGTAGCCTCAGCGCGGCACTTCAGAAAAAAGTAAGGGCTGGGAGATATTTTTAAGGGCTAGTAGATTTTACAGGTCACTAGCCCTGCTGGCTAGTGAACATTTTAGGTTAGTTTCAAGCCCTGTAATGTAATAAATTGAACAAAATTAAGAGCCTGTTCAAACTTGTAAGGTCCTGTCCAATTTGCCTAAGGGCACAGGGTACGAAATTAACGGGAGTCCAGGTATGAAATTTGGCAATTTTGCCTCTGACAGCAAGTAAGGCTGCTACTTGCTGTCAGAGGCTGTGCCCTCTGACAGCAAGTAGCAACACTCTGACAACAAGTCTAGGAAACCGAACGCGTCGATTTTCTGTGAAAAATCATATAAGTTATACGACTAAAAGATAATGATATTGATTAACATATATACAATTATTTTTTTATTATGGTATCAAATATGAATAAAACCAAGATGGTACAATTAATATGAAAGTTTTTGTCAATTTAAAATATTTACATGTAATAAAATACAAAAAGTCCAGACACAGAGCAGCAGTGAGACACATTGTTAGATTATTTAATCTAACAATTGAAGACTATCTGTCATAGAAATATTGATTTAAATTGCACAGTAGTGGGGACTGACTCAACAGCATACACAGGTTTCTCATTTAAATTGCACAGTGACTTAGTAATCGACAAACATTGAAAACATATGAAGAATATATACAAAGTAC